AAAAAAATAATAATAAAAGGTGCTATTCTATAGAGATTCACCAACTGGTTACTGGTATTTTCTCATTGCTGCCAGTCCCTTGTGGTTATTTGGGCTTCTCTTGAGTTATAGAACATCAGCAAATTTTGGAATGTGAGCTCCATTACCACTAGTAAGGTGTCTTGGAAAATCTACCCCAAGTGTTGGTATTCCTGGTTGGTAAGACAAATTTGTGGAACTGACCAACCCTTTATGTCTTCTAAAAATAAAAATAGTTAATTTATTAACAACATCTGGCCATATCAACCCTTTTTACCATTGTTGTTCAGTTTTGGTTCTTCATCAGAGTAGACACATAGCACAAGGAATGAGTTACCAGTATTTTAGCTGGATATTTTATTATATTAAGTAGTGGATAATTTACTCATCATTAATTTTAATGAAGCAGATTAATACTAAATCCTTTTACCAGTAAGGCAGCTCCAGGGCCCTGCATGGTTCATTAGTTTAATGTGGCTTTGCCACAAGGAGCAATTATTTTATCCTTCTTAAAATATAGACACTGGTTGCACATTTGCTAATTTTTACTCCAAATTCTTCCTCCTTTCCCCCTCTTTTGTTCCTCCTCTCTTCTTTTGTGTCCTTCTCTACTGCTGGAAAAAGCAAGACCAAACATGTAAACAAAAACAAACCTAATTCTACTTTTTGATCTTTAGATCTTGCAACCTTTTCTGTAAGGCAACTTTCAAGTTGAATGAATGGCAAAAAGTTTAACCACTAATTAACTGGCGCTAAAATTTAATTGGGCCCAAAGGGTGAAGTACTCAAAATCCATTAATTACTTTTCACAGCTTTTCAAAGCAACCATGGTGGAAGAATGATGACTTATTTCAGAAAGGGCAAAGAGAAACATACATTAAAATGCGTCTATCCATAAACGTGGCAGCCCTTTAGAATGTACTCATACTATCCAATGGTTTGCCTTTTAAAAAAATCAACAAAAGAATATGGGAATTCAAATATGGATTTTTAATCTGAATGCCAAAAAAAGTGATTGCAGAACATTTTGACCCACATAAAGGATAGTGTACATAGAAAATGAAGAGTGGCTTTTTCAGTGAATTTCTACAATGCATTTATAACAATTCTTGATGGTTTCCTTTGAATATGAATAATAGACTAATCCTAACATATCAGACCAATGTTCTATTTATTCTGACAACCTGGTTGGGTGGGGAGGGGAGACTTAGCTCAGTATGCCATTTGATTATTATTCACTATGGCACTTGTATGCCTACTAAGAAAAGACAAGTTTCTCACTTGGCATTATTAGAAATGAACTCAAAAATAAAAGTATCCTAAATATACATCTCTAATAAGACTGCATTTCAAATGCTGCATACAATTGTGATCATATATTCAGAAAGCATATGATAGAACTGGAAAAGGGTTGCTGTTTTTTAAAGCAACAAAATTATTACAACTCCTATATACAAATGGATTACAACTTTGGATGTTTCTTAACTAGAACAAGCAAAATAATGGAGAGAAGGTGAAGATAAATAAAATCAAGCATTATACAGAACATGCAAACCCACAGTTACAACTTTCACCTGATGAAACAAAGTGTAAGAAAATACGATATGACACAAAACAAGGTTAAACTGCAGGGTATGTTGCCATCAAATGTGGTATTAGCAATAGATTGGAATGTTTAAAAGGGAGCTAAATAATTTCATAGATGGTAACTCCAGGTGTGGTATACAGGTGAAACTCGAAAAATTAGAATATCATGCAAAAGTTCATTTATTTCCGTAATGCAACTTAAAAGGTGAACCTAATATATGAGATAGACTCATTACATGTAAAGCAACATAGTTCAAGCTGTGATGTGTCATAATTGAGATGATTATGGCTTACAGCTCATGAAAACCCCAAATCCACATTCTCAGAAAATTAGAATATTGTGAAAAGGTTCAATATTCTAGGCTCAAAGTGTCCCACTTTAATCAGCTAATGAAGCCATAACACCTGCAAAGGGTTCCTGAGCCTTTAAATGGTCTCTCAGTCTGGTTCAGTAGGAATCACAATCATGGGAAAGACTGCTGACCTGACAATTCTGCAGAAAACCATCATTGACACCCTCCATAAGGAGGGAAAGCCTCAAAAGGTAATTGCAAAAGAAGTTGGATCTTCCCAAAGTGCTATATCAAAGCACATTAATAGAAAGTTATGTGGAAGGAAAAGTGTGGGAGAAAAAGGTGTACCAGCAGCAGGGATGACTGCAGCCTGGAGAGGATTGTCAGGAAAAGGCCATTCAAAAGTGTTGGGGACTTTCACAAGGAATGGACTGAGGCTGGAGTCAGTGCATCAAGAGCCACCACACAGAGAGAGATCCTGGACATGGGCTTCAAATGTCCTATTCCTTTTGTCAAGCTGCTTCTGAACAACAAATAACATCAGAAGCGTCTTACCTGGGCTAAAGAAAAACAGACCTGGTCTGTTGCTCAGTAGTCCAAAGTCCTCTTTTCTGATGAGAGCAACATTTGGATCTCATTTGGAAACCAAGGACCCAGAGTCTGGAGGAAGAATGGAGAGGCATACACTGCAAGATGCTTGAAGTCCAGTGTGAAGTTTCCACAGTCTGTGTTGATTTGGGGAGCCATGTCATCTGCTGGTGTTGGTCCACTGTGCTTCATTAAGTCCAGGGTCAATGCAACCGTCTACCAGGAGATTTTGGAGCACTTCATGCTTCCTTCCACAGACGAGCTTTATGGGGATGCTGACTTCATTTTCCAGCAGGACTTGGCACCTGCCCACACTGCCAAAAGCACCAAAACCTGGTTCAATGACTGCAGGATTACTGTACTTGATTGGCCAGCAAACTCGACTGATCTGAACCCCATAGAGAATCTAGGGGGCATTGCCAAGAGAAAGATGAGAAACATGAGACCGAACAATGCAGTAGAGCTGAAGGCCACCACTGAAGCATCCTGGTCTTTCAAAACACCTCAGCAGTGCCACAGGCTGATAGCTTCCATGCCACGCCACATTGAGGCAGTAATTGCTGCAAAAGGGGCCCAAACCAAGTACTGAGTACATATGCATGCTTATACTTTTCAGAGGTCCAGTATTGTTCTATGTACAATCCTTGTTTTATTGATTGCATGTAATATTCTATTTTTTTTTTTTTTTGAGATTGTGGATTTGGGGTTTTCATGAGCTGTAAGCCATAATCATCACAATTATGACAAATCATGGCTTGAACTATCTTGCTTTGCATGTAATGAGTCTATCTCGTATATTAATTTCACCTTTTAAGTTGCATTACTGAAATAAATGGACTTTTGCCCGATATTCTAATTTTTTGAGTTTCACCTGTAATAACTGTATAATATTTACTTGAATCACTGGTAATAAATTTTGAACACCCAAGATAGAGGACACCTATTGCCTATGAGTTTGTCAAAAAATATAGAATTGGCTACTGCATGACACAGAATGCTGGAGTAAACAGATCTTTGGTTTGGTCCATGAAAGTTCTTTGATCTTCTGCTTTAAAAATCCAGAAGTAGGATCAAGGTCAAAGCTGGATACGTGTGCAGAGGCCATGTGTGGAAAATTAAAATTAAATTATAGGTCGTGTTTGGAGATATTTAGTTCTTTCAGTCCAGAATTCCTGAGATTTGTTGGAAATAGATAAGAAGCAATGTGAGAGTAGAACATGTATCATTTTGCAATGTCCAGACATTGGGACAGACATAAAATAGCTTCACTTGGCTAGACAGTAACATAGATGTATAACTGGATATCTTCCATGATATATAGTATCATCGATTGCCTTCAGGAAATATTTAAAAAGAAGGAAGAGAGAGAGAAAAGCCTTGAATCCTCTTATTTGTTCTTGTTTGACCTATCATCTCTTGGATTTAGCATTTTTTTTAAATATTTGTCAGCCCAAATGTCATATTCTACAACTGTTGTTTTTTTAAGAATTTTCTTCCTGTGAATTACAAACAAACAAGTTTGGGCAGACTAGCAATGTTTCAGTTCACCTGCAACTGAAATGCCAGTTTGTGTGTTAATATGTTCTATTAATATGAATCTAAACCAGTTGTGGGATTCAAATTTTTTTATTACTGGTTTTGTGGGCGTGGCTTAGTGGATGTGGTGTGGCTTGGTGAGTGTGGCTTGGTGGGCATGGCAGGGGCAGGATATTGTAAAATCTCCATTCTCACCCCACTCCAGGGGAAGGATACTGCAAAATCTCCATTCTCTCCCAACTCCAGGGGACGAATACTGTAAAAACCCCATTCCCTCCACATTCCTGGGGGAAGGTTACTGCAAAATCCCATTCCCTCCCTACCCCATTAACCTGCCTTCCAGCTCTGTTCTCCTGTGCAGGGCAACAAAAGAAGACCCAGCCAATCAGCTGGGATTCGGGAGGCAGAAAATAGATGGGGGTGGGGCCAGTCAGAGGTGGTATTTGCCGGTTCTCCGAACTACTGAAACTTTCTGCTACCAGTTCTCCAGAACTGGTCAAAACCTGCTGAATATCACCTCTGATCTCAACCTAAAAAGCATTGCTGACCCTGTCTGTCTTTCTCTCTTCCTTTACTTCATTTTGCTTTACTTGGATGATATTTGCAAATGAGCTTATAACTCTCTTTTTTTTTTTCAGCTGAAGTCTGACTTAGACAAGCAAGATAATTATCTGAAGGATAACGGTCCACAATTTTTGGATGGGCCTTATGAAGCTACAGTTCCTGAAATGTCTCCAGAAGGTACTTACCTCTTTTATTGATGCTGTGTGGGTCGTACTGATAAAATAAGTATTGCTATAGGAATGTGGTTTTTCTTTTCAAGTATCCAGAGTTCACAAGGATTCTTTATTTTAAAGATCTTGTGCATTCCATTATACCCTGAGGTTGGATTCTTCTGGACATACCATATTTTGGACTTCTACTTTCTGGATATTTCTGCTTTTTTAACATAAGTATTCAAGAATAGTCTTTGCTGATTTGGTCCAATAAGGACCAGTGAGTGAGCGGCCTTCTAGGACCTCCTCCCCCAGCAACCCCCTCCCCAAATAAAACTCTTTAGCTTCAATTTCCAGGGCTTGAATCCAGAAAACCCTATATTTTCTGATACTCTAGGCCTGAAAAAGTTAGTTTTTCTCTTTAGAGACTTGTAATCTGGTTTACTTAGCTGTACAAATACCGATAAGAATATAGAGTGAAAAAAGCCTAGTCCATCTCATCTACCTTCAGCAGTCTTACTGAAAATGGCATAAGACATCTACCAGTAATTTGGATGAGAGTTGCAGTTTTTGTTGTTGTTACCTTTCCAATTTGCACTGGATTCAATTTACAGCTCCATCTTTCTGACTATGTCTTCTCTCTGTTTATTTTTTGCTTCTTATAATTGGCATGGCATTTGGGTACTGTAGATATATCTGAGCACTTTTATGAGGTATTGATCCAGTATAGATCACTCAGTTTCTGACAATTTTCAAGATAATTGATGCTGTAATGAAGAGGAACAACCAATTTAGTTCCAGGAGATGTTGATTTATTTACTGACCAGATTTATATGCCAAGAAACAATTACAATAGATTAAAAAAAAATTAATTGGGGGGAAAATCAAGACAATAACAGAAAGCAAGCTAAACCAAATAACTAACAAAAACACAATGGAATATGAACATTTAACTACCTTCTGAAAGCTTTGCATGGAAATTACTAATCTAACCTCAGAGGTGAAGCTGCTTCCTGACAGGAAGACCACAACATAAAATATTTAAAATATAAAAAAATTAGAACACATGTTATTAGATACACAAGGAATTTATCTCTGGTGCAGAAGCTCTGGATGTACAATGTGGATTAGATCAGGGTGGGATTCTACCAGTTCACACCCATTTGCTAGAGCCGGTTGTTAACATTTTAAGCAGTTTGGAGAACCAGTTGTTAGAAGAAATTACTGGCCTAATCCTGTAAGGAAGGCAGGAAGGAAACATTCTGATGTTGCTTACAGAAACTGTTAACCTTTATTACATTCTTGGCAGGACTAGACTTCCTGTCTCAGGTACTTCTCTGGAGTTTTTTTCCCCTCCTTTGCTGGGACTTTGCTTATGTGGAGTGACCATTCAAAGTTACAATGGCACTGAAAAAAAGTGACTTATGACCATTTTTCACACTTACAACTGCTGCAACATCCCCACAGTCATGAGAAGCCAGGCAAGGAGATGCGTGCCTCAATGTGAGTGATATTGAGTTGGCCACACCCAGCCAATAACATGACCACCAAGCCATGCCCACCAACTAAGCCATGCCCACAGAACTGGTTGTTAAAAAATTTGAATCCCACCCCTGATATATACCAAATGTGGACAAAGGGAACAAGAGGAATACAATCAACTCAGAACTGTCAGGAAAGCAAAAGTTCAGAATAAAGATAGCAGATAAGCAAAAAATCATCGATATATATATATTTTGAAAAGGTTTGTAAAGAATTACTGTATCAGCTATTCAGTAAAGAAGGCAAAATGCAAACACATAACATGGAAAATACAACTTTTGTCATCCCATCCCTCCCCAAACAAGACCCCTGTGTTCTATAGAAAATCAGAAGCATCTCTTCTCAAAAAGAACAAAAAGACAGATAAATTTTCCTTTGAAGAAACAATCTCAAAGGTAACTCAGGGACAAGACATGTGATATCCAGCATTTTTAACTAAGCACCAGTTGGCAATCACAAAGGTGTTACTCTGCTATTGTTTTGGCACTGTAGTTTCTGAGTGGCCTTCAAAGGTAGCCCTAAAAGACTGTGTTGTAGTAATCTAACTAAAGGTGATGAAACCAAGATCACCATCACAAGGATCTCTTGTTATAAAAAATGCTAAAACTACCATATCAATCAAAGGTGGACAAAATTGTTCAAGAGTCAATATATTAAAACAAATATATTTAAGATTCAGCACACTATCTGGCAGTTTCTTCCTCCTTCATATACATTTCATCACTCAAGGAAACCATAACAGTAAATGATGCATTTTGCAAATGGAACCATATAATATTCCCTTAGGAATTTCCCCAAAACATAGTTCATGTAGCTTAAATGTCAACAAACAATTTCCAAATATGAGCATGATTAGAATGGACCATATATTAGACATTTTGGTGGACCAGAAGTTTCATTTAAAAGGCTTTTTTAATGTTCCCCATAATTCTCTTTTAGCTTCCATGATATTCATATTTAGTGTTTTTAATAATGCTTCCAAATGTTTAGAAGATGATTAGGAAAAACACCACATGAAACTGTCATGAAACAGTCACAAGTTCTCAAGTTGAAAAAAAATGTGGCTGCTTTAAGAAGTTCACTTGTTTAAAAAATGCAACTTTTAAAGCTCCAGAAGTCTGTAGAGATCCTCAGTCATCCAGGTCACAGTTGTCAAAAGATGCTTTTTTTTAAGGAGCCAACTGAACTTTCTTTCTTTCGTTTTTTTCTTTGAAGATGTTTTGCTTCTCATCCAAGAAGCTTGGATTCTTTTGTTTTTCCAGGCTTTCCAGAAAGCTTCAAAAAAAACAACCCATTCTTTTTAATGGTCTCTTCAGAGGCACCTCCGTTATATTTTCAGCAACTGTCTCAACTGTTAAAATGATTTAATTCAAGATGGCACACTGACTTGCAAAATCAAGCCATTGGGTCTCAGTGAAGCTGACATGAACACAATTCAGCTGGCTGCTTTCCTTCGGCAGGGGCCTGCATATGTAAAGGACAGCTAGAAGCTGCTTGCATCTAGAATGAAGCAATGTGCCTCTACTGATCTAATGCTTTGAAGGGGGGTGGGATATTTCAGTCTGGAGTGCCATTTAGTAGCACATTTCAATTAAAGCTTCATCAAATTGGAGTGCATCTTCCAATTAACATAACTAATTAACTAGGTATCCCAGTGACTGAAGCTGAATTAAGAGTTTACACTGTTCTTCTAATAAAATGCACACACCTGGCATGCTGTTTATTTTTATTATTACATTTATATCCTGTTGCAATCATGAAAGAATCCCAAGATATGTGACTCACAAGATAAATAGTAATAAAACATTCAACAGTAAAAGAAAAAGCATACAATAAATGCAATGAAGACCAGCACTTAGTAGAGCAGCCATAAAGATCCCAGAAAAATCATGTGATGCATGTATATCTGCAAAGGTAAGAATCATGCAAGCAATGGTGTTCCCTATGATATTCTATGGAAACAAAAGTTGGATTTTGAAGAATAAGAATGAGTATTGATACTTTTGGATTTTGATGTTGGTGAGGACCTCTGAGAATACTATGAACAAACAAATAAACTGAATTAATCAACACAGAGTTCTCTCTCAAAGCACAGATGACCAGGCTCAAATTATCCTACAAACTAAATATTATGGGAAGACCTAACCCTCTGAAGAAGGCTTTAATATTGAGAAAGGCAGAAGGAAAGTGAAGAAGAGAATGACCAGCAGTAAAGTGAATGGACTCAGTTACAGTGGCTATGACTACACACTTGGAAGACTCAAAAGATCATGTTAGGGACAGATTATTATGGAGAAAATCTATGTATGTGGTTTTTAACAGTCAACTTCATGGTACACAATCTGTCTATTAAATGATTAAAACATCTATAGTTTGGTTAAAATGAGAAACATATACATATATAAAACATAACCAGCTCCAGTCACCAACTATGTATGTGTGTGTGTGTTTATATATGTATGTATGTATGTATGTATGTATGTATGTATGTATGTATGTATGTATATGCATTTATTTGTAAAAATTATTGGCTGCCCATCTTGCCTCAAGGTAACTCTGAGTGGCTTATAATCCAGAAAGTCATGTCCATTTTTCAGCTGTTCATTTTATTTATTTATTAATCAAATTTATATGGTACCCATCTCATGAACCTGACTCTAGAAAGCATGCAACAATCCAATAAAATAAACAATAATTTACTGTTATAAATAAATAAAGCAATAATTAGCTGAAACTATTATATAATATTGATTATTTTAAAAGATTAAAAACTAAAAGCAGAACTCAAATATGAAAAGAAAATAATAGGTGGAGGGATGTTAATAATAGTGGAGCCACCTCATGAGTTCACCCATTCCTGGGAAGACCAGGCCTGCTGATATAGGTGGTCTTAAAAGACCTTTGAAATGATGACATTGTAAACTATTCTGACAGCGTTGTAAAGCATTATGGAGTGGTATATAAGTCTAAGTGCTATTACTATTACTAATATGATCCTGAAAGTAACCTACTGCCAAATCATAAAGGGCTTTATGGGTTAAACATTTTATTAATGTAAGCAATATGGGCTGTGCAGCATGGGTTGTCTGTAACACATTATGGAAGTTGTTATTTTAAAGAATGCTTGGAGATTTTCTAATGGTTTAATAGCTATCACTTTTCCTATCAACTTTTTTACAGATAATATCTTAGTTTTTTTACCAGAAAATAAAAATCCTTTGAGGCTCTCCTGATGAATTTATAGGTAAAAAAATATCCAGGAACATATGGAAGAATATGATACTCCAAGCCTTAGCAAATGCTGTAGGTCTTCTTTTACCTGACATGGAAATTGATTTGTATTTAAATTTAAAACCTGGGTGAGAAATGAGTTGGATATGAGTTTTTCTCATAGCAAGCTGAGAAAAAAAAAAGAGAGAGAATGCTTGGGAATATTTTTTTTTCATGGGTATAATCTCCCCAAAGGGCCTTGGGATAGTATTA